TCTCTTCCCCCATGCCGTCTTCCCCCTCTCTTCCCCTATCCCGTCTTCCCTTTCTCTTCCCCCATGCCGTCTTCCCTTTCTCTTCCCCTATCCCGTCTTCCCTTTCTCTTCCCCCATCCCATCTTCCCCCTCTCTTCCCCCATCCTGTCTTCCCTTTCTCGTCCCCCATCCCATCTTCCCCTTCTCTTCCCCCATGCCGTCTTCCCCTTCTCTTCCCCTCTCCCGTCTTCCCCTTCTCTTCCCCCATGCCGTCTTCCCCTTCTCTTCCCCCATGCCGTCTTCTCCCTCTCTTCCCCCATGCCGTCTTCTCCCTCTCTTCCCCCATGCCGTCTTCCCCTTCTCATCCCCCATCCCATCTTCCCCTTCTCTGCATCACTCTCACCATGACACATCCTCCTGGGGGAGGCAGCTAGTGGGGGCTGGACTGCGGGAACCAGGAAGGAGAAAAGGACTCTCTCTCCTGGGCAAGGCCACAAAGGGGTCTGATGTGAGGACCTGTCTATCCTGTTTGAATGTTGCATGAAGCTCTAGGGCCACAGAGGACCCTTCGCAGGAAAATCACCCTGAACCCATCTAGACTCTGGAGGTGGAAATCCACCCACACAAGACCAATGGGTTGGCATAGACACCAGAAAGGATGCTTGCTTGGTCTGGTTTGAATCTCTTCACAGCCCAGGAAGCTACAGCTTTTCTTCAGTCGTAAGCCTAGAGGCTTCTCTCTTGAGAACTCAACAAACAACACAAACAAAACAAAATCAAAACCCGGACAGACAAAAAAAATGTTCTTACCGGAGAGGCAGGATCCAATGAAAACGGTTGAGATGGCTGAGGAAACCAAAAGGAAAGGTCAGAGAGTCTTTGTTTCCAAGTCTTTGTTCAAATCACCCATGGTTAGAAGGCCCTTCCCAACTTCTTAAGGGAACATGAGAGACACAGAGACTCCAAGGGCAGCCCTGTCATGGCCTTCTCCTGGCACCAGACTCAAAGGACAGCATGGGAGCCACAGAGGCCAATTCTATTGAGTTAACTGACTTACCCTTGCCTGAGACTGCGGCTCCACGTCAGGCACCAGGCAGGCAGTATCTACTACTATTATTTACAGTGACTAACTGTCCCTGCTTCAGGTGGGAGTGTGGTGATGTAGTGTCCTGGTTCACAGAAACGAGCACCGGAGGCCACCGAGCAGTCACCGGTGGGGAAGGCAGTGATCACATGGGCAAGGCAGAGTGGCAGGGTCGGCTGTATTCACTGGCACTGCATTCAAATGGCAGTAGGCTCCCTTTGTATGGAGCCAATAGTAAGAATTTTGAGTTACAACTGCTCAGCTCTGCCCCCACAATGCAAATGAGCATTGCCTGAGTCCCAGAGACTTTGTATACTGACATCATTTTAAATTCCAGGTATTTTTTTGTGCATTGTAAAATGATATTTTTATTTTTATTTTCCTCCACCTTTTAACAGTGTAAAAGTCACTCGCGGATTGTAAACTGTGGTTCATCTAGACTTAATTTAGATCAGCAGGCCAGGAGCAGCTCTTTCTTTAGTTCCCAAATTCCAGCATATTTTTGGAATATGAGCGATCTTTTTCCCTACATGATCTATGTATGGTTGGACTCTTCTGTCAGCTCCGTCACACTGTGAAGTCCTGTAACCCTCAGTTGCCCCTGAAGCTAAGCATTTTCAATTATGTAATTTGCTCACCACATACGTGTTATAGAATTTTCCTGAAAGAGCAAGTATCTTTGGACTAGTCTAGAGTTTTCAAACAAATAGCTCAGTGATTAATTCTGAAATACTTCTTTCTATAAATAGCTTCCCAGGAACCTCTTTGTCTGTCTGTCTCTCTCTTTCTTTTCTTTTTCTTTTTTCTTTTTCTTTTTTTGGTTTGTCTTTTAAGACAGGGTTTCTCTGTAGCCCTGGCTGTCCTGGAACTCACTCTGTAGATCAGGCTGCACTTGAACTCAGAGACCTGCCTGCTGAGTGCTGGGATTAAATGTGCCACCACCGCACGGAGGAGCATCTTATTCTTAATCTTCTTCACAGTGAGCCTACTTTCAGCCTGAGGCTCAGCTACACTATGTGCATGCATTGCATAACCTCCCACACAAAACAGGAGGACAGTGGACAGGAAGCAACCGTGCCGAGCTGATGCACAGGAGCAGTGTAGTATAGCCAGCAAATAACTTGGAGCTTCTGAACACCGCTGACAGGAGGGATAGACAAGTGCAGGTGGCGTAGATCTGAAGGCCTTTGTGAAGGAGGTGAGACTTCAGGTGAGCCTTGGGGGCTCAAAAGTAATCTACAAGAGGCAAGACTAGTTGTTGGTTTCTGCTGGGATGTAGAGATGTTTAAGATATGGTCAGGAAGCCGGGCGGTGGTGGCTCACGCCTTTAATCCCAGCACTCGGGAGGCAGAGCCAGGTGGATCTCTGTGAGTTCGAGGCCAGCCTGGGCTACCAAGTGAGTCCCAGGAAAGGCGCAAAGCTACACAGAGAAACCCTGTCTCGAAAAACCAAAAAAAAAAAAAAAAAAAAAAAAAAAAGATATGGTCAGGACCCTATATTGTGCCTATAAGTCTGAAACTGGAAGAACAGTGTGGACTTTGGTAATGTTCTCAGTAATCAAGACACTAAAAATGGATGAGACTTATTAGGGTAGCAGATTAGTAAACATTGTTTGATATCACATATTAATTACATTAATAAAAGGCTCCTAGTAAGGCATGGCTCCCCCATACTCACTGGCCAACCAACCTAGACTAATGGGCCAGCTTCAGGCCAATGAAACAGTCTCAAAATAAAGTTGGCCAACAACACAAGGTTTTCCTCTGTTAAACACACAAAATCCTCTTAAAAACATCTGGGGAATGTAGCATTATCTTCACAGACCAGAGAGCAAAATTTTAGAGAAGTACGGTAACCTAAAAATTCAGTTAAGAGCCATGGCTAAAACACATGTTTCTTTGCATACCCAAACTCCAGATTGTCCAACATCTAGCACAGTGGTTCTCAGCCTTCCCAACACTGGGATCCTTCAATGCAGCTCCTCACGGTGTGGTGACTCCCAGCCATACAATGATTTTTGCTGCTATTTCATAACTGTAATTTTGCTACTGTTATGAATCATATTGCAAATATCTGTGTTTTCCTATGGTCTTAGGTGACCCCTGTGAAAGGGTTGTTTGACCCCCAAAGGGGTTGTGACCCACAGATTGAGGAACCCCTGATCTAGACTCATCCTGGGGAAATTAGAGAAACATATGAAACACTTTTCAGAAGACACTAGACTAACAGACAAATGAAAGACGATTATTTTGTGGCTCTACTGTCTTTGTTTCTTTTTTTTTTTTCTAATAAACACTTTTAAAAAGATCTGAGGAAAAGAGGTGGGTGGTGTTTTATTATAGAGAGAAAATACTCTCTGGGGTAAGTATGAGCTACTCAAGAAAAGTCTCATGAGAGCTATACTTTCCCCTTACTCTATCTGACTGTTACCCAACAGCCAGCCATCTCCTTTATTAAGAGTACATCTAGAGAATTGTGTGTACGAGGAAATGAATGTAAAATTGTGTAAATATTGGGAAATAGACAAAAACCTGGCAATTAAGGCAAAACTTCAAATATGGATTTAAGGGATTTCTAAGCTCTAGAACAAGTTACCATTCTTGCAGGGTACCTGAATCAGGATAGGAGACTACGCTAGAAATAGAAAGCCCCGAAGTCCGGACAAACAGGAGCAGAGGCACTCACCAAGCATCAAGTTGAGCAGTAGAGCCATGAGCCAGGCAGCTGAAGATGGCATGCTGAGTCTGATGCAGGTCTCAGGCAGCAATGTTGGTTTTGGGTGCTAGGGGTAGGAAGAGAGACAAATGCTGAGCGCAGAAGAAGCTTATCAAATGACCCAAAGCCAATGGGCTGGCGGGGGGGGGGGGGGGGGGGGGGGGGGGCGGGCGGCGCGGCACAGGGGGTATGTGGAAGACAGATATGCTGAGTTCAGCAGGCCTGGAGGAAGGGAGGTGACTGAGAGTGGCTAAGATCCTGAAAAAGGGGGTGCTGGGGGAAAGGCGGTTATTGTCATGCTTTGAATGTACTGACAGCCTCATTCAACCTGCCTCTGCTTCATTCCTCCTCTGTGTAAATGAGCTTTCATAAGGGAAGGTAGGTGCCCAAGTATGGTCCTCTTGCGTTAGAAGCCTAGACCATAATTAGCCTCCAAAAGTGAGGTCTGTGGGGCAAGTATGTCAACTTGAATGACTTGACTTCCAAATGAAGCGCCTAGAGAACGCAGGGGCTAGAGGCCAAAGAATAAATATAAATATACCCTTGATGGTCCACACCATAATCCATGATTGTATATTTAGCTCTGCTGTTAGGGCGGGCTTTCCTGTCTTCAATCAGCTTCCCAAGTGCTGAACAGAAGGCCTAATATGCAGTCTGCTCTTCTAGTGTTGTGCCCAGATCGTGACCCCCAGAGAGACCACCA